CAGGACCTCGTGTTCCCTATTCATGGGGGTTGACCCACTAGTGTTTACACCTCAATACCTTCTGTAACTACCTGCAGTCTAATTTGCCTCAGAGGCACTACTAGGTGCATGAGCTGTCTCGTGTTATTGCTTGATCCCATTTGGGCTCAACTGCTATTACAAGTATGCATCATAATATGGTGCCCGCTAATTGCTATAGTATGCACGTGAGAACCTGGTCTAACCACGCCCTACAGTATACTAGTGGCGTACAGTTAATTCTAAACATAACGTATAACTTGTTTTTCAACAATAAAGAATATGGTGTCTGGGTTTATAAACAGAACAGCAGACATTGCCCGAAGTTATAACAGAAGTCCGTCTTACTGAGTTGCACAGGGTTAGTCGGCCATCTGCCAGTCTTCTCGTTGTTGCTTCGGTGATGTGGCAGCTCGATCCCGTGGTTCTCAGTACGGGAACATGCCCCATTCTTTCAGGAAACGCATGCCCACTTCTGGTTCATTTGCTGTGTAATTTCTCCCTTGTCGCCATATTAGGAGCTTTGTAGGGTATCTCCACCTGTACTGTATTTGATTATTTCTGAGAGTTTTTGTTACTGTGATGAATTCTCTGCGTCGAGCCATCGTTAACGCTGATAAGTCTACATATAGTTGGACGCTAGCATGTGGATCAGGCATTGTAGTAATTTTCCTCGCCGCAGCCAATAGAGCTTCTTTGGTCTTGTAATAGTGGAATCTTGCCACTGCGTCTCTTGGGGTGTCGCGGGACAGCCTTTGGGGCTTCGGCAGCCGATGTGCCCTGTCCATGAGCCAGTCAACTTCTTTTATATCTGGTAAGAGTTACCAGGTAGTCATACAGGATGTCTGTCGTTACCGTTTCTGGTATCCCTCGAAAGCGCACATTATTTCTTCTGGACTGGTCCTCCATGTCCGCTACCTTTCGTTTTAGTTGCTGGTGCTCTTCAGTGAGATTGTGCACCATGTCCGCTAGCCTCCGTGCGGGCTTCTAAGCTGTGTGTGCGTTCGCCAAGATCTGTTACTTCTCGTTTTAGTTCATTGGTCACCTGTTTAAAATCCGCTTGTAGTGTGACTCTAAACTCTTGTAACATCGAGTATAGTTTTTTTCCTGACACCGGAGCGTCAGTATATCGGCTGGTCTCCTGTTCTGAGTCTGATTGTTCCTCCGAGGTCTGTAGGCCTACGTCTCCATCTTGATTAGGCCTCATGCGCTCTCTGCGGTCCCGTTTGGATAGACGGAGTTGCTCCGTGAGTTTAGTCTGTTTCGTAGGGGCCATTCCGCAGTCTGCGTATTAGGGGGTTGTTGCAGGGTGTTTTAGGCGTAAGTTGCTTCGAGTAACCAGGCTAACGGGTCAGTTGGGCCGGGAGCACTCACTCCATGCAACCTCTCTCCTCAGCAGTTGGCCATGCCCCCCATTCGTTAGTTTTACCGGCATAAAGCATCATTCGTCTGTTTGCCGCTTTCAACTAATTTTATATGAACGGCCTGCTCGTGCATCTGTTTTTCTATTCATTCCATTCTTCTATTTGTTCATACAAATTCGTCTCTTTTGTGCCGAATGTTCGGCTCTTTAATTTGATGAATTCACAGGATTTTTTTACTGTGAATCTCGCGAGATTGCTGTCGGCCATTTTCTGGCATCCTGTCCTTCTGGCTCTGTCTCGTGTTCTTTTTCCGTCTGCCGGTCTGGACCCTGGTGAGCTCCCTATCTCTACCCTCTTAAAGATATAGCTAGTTTGGGGTGATTAACTCCTGCTAGTCTGTTCTGTTGTGTCATTTTAGTTTTTAGTTTTCACTCCTTATAGTTCTTATACACCCTGTTCCAAATTATTATGCATTATAACCAATAATTATTGGTTCTGAAGGGCTGGCAGATCCCCCCAGTTATCAACCTCCGGGTCCTGAACACTTTGGTGCGCTACTGTCACTTCAAGATGGAAGGCATTCATCTCATACGGGACTTACTCCTTCGGGGAGACGGGATGGCGAAGTTAGACCTCAAGGACGTATACTTGACGGTCCCAGTGACTGAGGTGCTTCACAAAATTGATGCGCCCTGCCATGGCTTGGTTGCGCAGTTGAGGAGTTCGGCTGATCGTCTACTTGGACGACATCCTCATCATGGCACAGGATCGTTCGGTCCTCCTGAAGCACCTGCAATGGACGATGTATCTCCTCTCTCACCTGGGTTTCCTCCTCAACTTGGAATAATCCTGCCTGTCCCCTTTGCAACGCATGGAGTTCCTCGGGTACACCGTAGACTCTGAAGAGGAATCTCTCAGCCTCCCTCCGTCCAAGCTACGGACCATCCAAAAGGAATTACGCCTCGCTCTAGTGCGCCCCCAGCTATCGCTGCGTCATCTGGCTCGGATCATTGGCCTACTGGCTTCATTAATCCAGGCGGTGTTCTCAGCCCCTCTCCACTACCGTGCCCTCCAACGTCTGAAGATTGCACACCTTTGCAGTGGGGCATCCTATGCGGACATGGTCTCTCTGGACTCGGAAACTTGGGACGAATTGACCTGTTGGCTTGGAATGGCAAGGCCATCTTCGGTTCCCAACCGGAGTTCACGGTGGATTCAGACGTAAGTCTCCACAGTTGGGGTGCCCGCTGCAACGGTGTGACTACTGGGGGACACTGGTCGGACGGTGAATCCCGTCTCCACATCAATGCCATGGAACTCCTGGCCGGCTCTTTCGTGATCTGGAGTTTTGCGAATGGGACTGCCAGTGCATGCATCCCGCTGCGCATGGAGAACATCTCCGCAGTTCGCTATTTCAATCACATGGGCGGCACGCAGTCGGCTATTTTGGCCCGCTTGTCGAAGGACTTTTGGGCCTATTGTTTGGCCAGGAACCTTGTCGTCCAGGCGAAATACCTCCCCGGTATCCACAACACTCATGAGGACTGGAGTTCACGCTATCTGTCGAACAGCAGTGATTGGAAACTGGATGTAGAGGTGTTCTCCACTATCTCATCTCTCTGGGGACCTTTTGCCATCGACCTTTTCCCATCCTGGCTCAATACCCAATTACCTCGGTTCTTTCAGCAGGCTCCCGGATTCAGTCACGGAGGCAGTGGACGCCTTCCTGCAAGACTGGACCAGCTCACTCCTTTACGCTTTCCTCTGTTTGCCATGATCCCTCATGCCCTGCTCCAAGTGCGCCGCCAAATGGCCGACCTGATCCTGCTGACCCCGTTCTGGGGGACCCAGTCATGTTCCCCACAGCTCCTGGAACTGGCGATAGATGTGCCCACACTTCTGCCATCCTACCAGGACCTTCTTGTGGACCCGTCAGGCCAATAACAACCCCTCCTGTTGGACGGGTCATTGCTGCTGCAGGCATGGAGGATTTCCGGGGTCCCTGGGAAATCCAAGGGGTTTCGGAAGCAACTAGATGCCTGCTGGCTGACGCATGGGCTCCCGGAACTAGAGAATCATACGGGACCGCTTGGACTGGTTGGTGCCTGGCTCGGAACTTGGATCCCGTTTCGGCACCTGTGACTGCGATCCTCCAATTCCTCACTTCATTATTCGAGGCTGGTCGGGTGTATCGCACAATTAATTTGTACAGATCAGCCATCTCCTCGGCTCACCAAGGATTTGACGGCTGTCCCGCAGGCCAACACCCTTTGGTGTGCCGCTTACTTCGGGATCGCGCCTGTCGCGCCCCCCTAGGCCTCGATACTCGACTACATGGGACGTTTCCTGCATTTTGCCACTTTTTACTTCCTGGCCTCCCAATTCGGATCTCTCCCTGCGACAGCTGTTGGCCAAGTTGGTCTCCCTCTTTTGCCTCATTTCATGCAAACGGGTTTCAGATGTGCGTCCCCTGGACTACGATGCTAGGTCTTTCATTCCAGATGGGGTGACATTTAACATCTCCAGACGCACTAAAACAGCTATTCAGTCGGTTTTGTATCAGAGTTTTCCAGTTACTCCGGCGTTATGTCCAGTGACCTGTTTGCGGGAATATGAACTTCGGATGAGTGCACATCGTTCGGTTTCGTCCCCTCAGCCTTTTCCCTCGGTTCGTGAACCCTTTGTCCCTGTGTCCTGCACTACCTTGGCTCGTTGGGTGAAATGGGTGATGTCGTTGGCTGGTGTGGATTCGTCCATCTATAGCGCCCACTCCTCGCGGGGGGCATGAGCCACGTCTATGGTGGCCTTCTCTCTAAGGTATGTTTCCAGGGGATGGTAGGTATTTGTGATGCGCTCTGTGTTATAGTACCTCTTATGTGCATCTGAACTGTTAATGCTATGTTTTGTCTGGTGGGTTTTGTCTTGCGCTATGGGCACTGTGTTGCTTCAGTTTATCAATACATTATGTTTTGGCATGCACAATTTGGTTTAAGTACCGATTTAACCGTTTGGCTCCTGTTTTTATGTTTTCACAGGTTTATTCTGTGCTGTGTGGGAGATCTTCACTACTTCCCACAAGGCTTCACCACGTTGGCTGGAGGTCTGTGGATTGTGCTATGATGTGCTCCTCACTGTTGGCATTTCTCTATTCGTTGATGGATTGGTCCCAGTTTGCTTATGGTTCCTGATCGGTGTCCGGCTGGATTTCGGGACGGTTGTTCTGCTGTGGTTTGGACTGATTCATCGGTTTATGTTTGCTGGTTATTGTGTCTCATCTCCAAAGAAAGAGGAAATATGTGGGGAGGTGCTGACTATTATACTGGGACTTGGTATGGGAGTGGCCTATCACTATGGTTACCATTTTTTCTTACTGTTTGTATTCTTTGCTGCTATTGGTGGACAGTAAAGAAAGGGTTAAGCAATACTCCCCTCCATAGCTTTCCTGAGGCCTTCTCTAAGATGCTCCCTTACGGCTTGAAGCATGTCCTAGATTTGTTCTAAGGAAGCTGGGGATCCTATGGATTTAATATATGATAATGGGGGATTCGAGCTAGTATATATTAATGAGGCTCTATGTTCATGGTTTACTTCCATTTCAGGAGCCGACCCGCTACTGCGATGCTCCGGCTCTCTTTATGTTCCTCAGACGCCAGAGGAGTAATTGAAACAGCACGACCCTCAGTAACTGAAGGTGCGGCTTGGGATTCACTGTGTGTATCTGCAGCAGGAGCAGATTTCGTAACTGTGGCGATCTTGCTCCCTAACGGCATCCCTTGTGTGGTCGCAGCTGTCTCTTTATCCATCCGGGAGTGTTCCTACAGTGCAGATGAGGCACATGTCTTCTGTGGAGGTAGAAGCGAGCAGGCAGTTGGTAGTTTCGAAATGGCCTCGTCTACCGATGTTTTCTCAGGAGGGACACTTGATCTTAAAGCAGCAGCAGTGGTTTCAGATTTGTTTTGTTATAATCATGTTAGTATATGAAACTATAAAGATGAATTTTACTCAATTTAAAATGAAACAGAAGGCTTTTTATGAATGATCTAGATTTAGATCCAGTGTCCCTGGAGCTCACTCAGATGGTGGCCATTCAAGTCACAGGCCAAGCCAAACCCATTTGTTTTATCTTGGATACTATATATTATTTATATTTTGGTGCAGAGTTATTATGATCATAGCTATATAAAATAGGGGAAACATGACTACGAGGCTTGTTGCCTGGCTGTTCTCTAACTATGTATAGTCTAACTCTGCCTTCAGGAGCCCAGCAGTTACCATCTGCTGTTGAACATCCATTATCCTGTAACAACCATGTAAACTTTGTTGTTTTATTATGTATCAGAAACTGTAAGAATAAACCGGAAGAAACTCTCAGTCTGATGCGTATTGATGTTTGTAACTTACACACAGAAGAACTATACTATAGATGTATATAAACATGGCGAGCCACCTAACAAGAAGAATTATATCATAAGAAGATATATAAAGGACTTATTTCAATCACCTTGGAAAATAGAAAGCAAATTTATTACACTCTTTTAAACCTTTAGCATGAGCATGTATAACGTCTTCAAATTCCTCATGGGAAAGCATTGATTCAATGCATTCCTATGGGGAAGCTTTAATGCATGCAAGTAGAGCATTGTGCTTTAGGTCTTGCCATTGTCGTGACATCCTAACAAAGGAGCCTTGGGGGTGGAAATGGGTAAGGGAGAGAAGTATTTTTAACCCTTAGATCACCTGTTGATGGGGGGCTATTAATTTAGGTACAGGTACACTGTAGCATTCGGAATACAGGTTTGTATTTCTAACACTATAGTGGTCCTTTAAATATAGGATGCAATCTCCATAATCCCAGATTATAATTTTTTTGGTCAGGATAGTGCGGTTTTGCATTATTTAATGAGATATGATCAACTTCCAAAAACATATAAAGGTAAGTCCATGTGACCTCTTTCCAAATTGGGCAAAACCAGCTTTGTTATTCCTGGGCATTTAGAATGCAAGATTTGCTGACAAGTATCCAAATGAGACTGAATATGGACTAGATTTCAGTTGAACCAAACGTTGCTGGACAGCTGAAATTGGGATCTGGGGTGTTAAAATACAGGGCCAGATACTTTTTACCCCTTTTATAACATGTTTTTTTTTCCTTGGTGACCCTTAATCTTCGGTTACAGATTAAAAATAGATGCTTACTCCTACTTCCTTGAAAATGATTTCTGTTTCTAAATTGATTTTTTAATTTTATTTTATTTTTTAGATATTTTTATGCCGTCAGAGCAATATATGTTGCAACTGCAGAACCACATTGTTGACTCAAGAGGAAATATGGCAGCTCCAGTGGCTGAGCTAGACCAACAGACCTCTGTTGTTACTGCCTTGCAGATGGGTAAAACAAAAATAGTACTTTTCCATAAAAGTATCCTTTCTGCTGTGAATGTTTTTCAGAATCCACTAAATGCAACAAAAGAGTTAGTGTCACTACTGTTTATTTATGGTTTCGATACAGCACATATGTCAATTCTGTATGGTTAGAAAATTGACTTGTAATTTGTGACTTGTAACTTAATATCATGTGCAGAAGAGTACTTCCACCATTTCTTATGCCTGCCTGTGCCCATGCCCAGCTCCCAACTTTATTTTAATAAACTGGCACAATCAAGCTGTAAGCAGTAAGTATACCATTCTATGACTGAGCTGCTCACTCCCACAGGTACATGACTCCTGGATGCTCAGCAGTTGGACTTCAGCCAGATAAATATAAAGACATATGAAATTTTGTGATTAAAAATTAGTTCTTATGTATTTTTTCCACCGATGTGGACTTCCTCAGGGACTAGAAATACAAAATTACATTAAAACTGAATCATTCAACATGTAATTTAGATGTTGTTTGCATTCCACTGAGTCACATGAGTTTGCCATCTGACAAAGAAATTATCAGTCTATAATTTTAATGGTAGGTGTATTTTAACAGTGAGAGATAGAATAACAAAAAAACTATCAAGAAAAACGTATGTCAAAAAAGTTATAAATTGATTTGCATGTCAATGAGTGAACTAAGTATTTGACCCCTTCAACTTAGTACTTGGTGGCAAAACCCTTGTTGGCAATCGCAGAGGTCAGACGTTTCTTGTAGTTACCCACCAGGTTTGCACACATCTCAGGAGGGATTTTGTCCCACTCCTCTTTGCAGATCCTCTCCAAGTCATTAAGGTTTTGAGACCAACATTTGGAAACTCGACCTTCAGCTCCCTCTAAATATTTTCTATGGGATTAAGGTCTGGAGACTGACTAGGCCACTCCACTGGGGCCTTTATGTGCTTCTTCTTGAGCCACTCCTTTGTTGACTTGGCTGTGTATTTTTAGGTTGTCATGCTGGAATACACATCCACAACCCGTTTTTAATGCCCTGGCTGAGGGAAGGAGGGTCTCACCCAAGATTTGACGGTACATGGCCCTGTCCATCGTCCCATTTATGCGGTGCAGTTGTCATGTTCCCTTAGCAGAAAAACACCCCCAAAGCATAATGTTTCCACCTCCATGTTTGACGATGGGGATGGTGTTCTTGAGGTCATAGAAAGCATTCCTCCTCCTCCAGACACAGCAAGTTGAGTAGATACCAAAGAGCTTGATTTTGGTTTCATCTGACCACAACACTTTCTCACAGTTCTTCTCTAAATCATTCCGATGTTCATTGGCAAACTTCAGACAAGCCTGTACATGTGCTTTCTTGAGAAGGGGGACCTGCAGGATTTCAGTCCTTCACGGTGTAGTGTTACCAATTTTTTTCTTGGTAACTATGGTCCCAACTGCCTTGAGGTCATTAACAAGATCCTCCTATGTAGTTCTGGGCTGATTCCTCACCGTTCTCATGATCCTTGAGACTCCACGAGGTGATCTTGGAGCATTAGACCGAGGGAGACTGACAGTTATTTTGTGTTTATTCCATTTGTGAATAATTACACCAACTGTTGTCACCTTCCAACCAAGCTACTTGGCTATGGTCTTGTAGCCCATTCCAGCCTTGTGTAGATCTATAATCTTGTCCTTGACATCCTTGGGCAGCTCTTTGGTCTTTGACATGGTGGAGAGTTTGTAATCGGATTGATTTATTGCTTCTGTGGATAGGTGTCTTTTATACAGGTAACAAGCTGAGATTAGGGGCACTCCCTTTTGGAGAGTGCTCCTAATCTCAGCTAGTTATCTGTATAAAAGACACCTGGGAGCCAGAAATCTTGCTGATTGATAGGGGATCAGATACTTATTTCACTCATGAAATCAATTTATAACCTTTTTGACATGCATTTTTCTGGATTTTTTGTTTGTTATTCGGTCTCTCACTGTTAAAATATACCTACCATTAAAATTATAGACTGATCATTTCTTTGTCAGTGGGGAAAACGTGCAAAATCAGCAGGGGATCAAATACCTTTTTCCCTCACTGTGTATCTGAATCATATACAGACACATATGGCATAAAACAATTAAAAAGTGCAGGTTATGTATATAATGCTTACGTATTGGTGGATGAATATACAATCTTTAATGAAACCTAACAAATCTCACTAATAGGACAGGTCTGGAAAAATTCCAGGCAACCAGGAAATTTGTCCTGGCGTCTGGGATTTGTGAGCCCATTCAGACCCCAAAGTGACCGGCTGCCTTAGATTGGAGGCAGGCAGTCAGCGCAGGGATGGCTGACACAGGCATGCGGACAGCCGGCTCATGGAAAGCTGAGGGAGGCGATGGAGCTGTAATCTCTGTTTTGCTCCCTTGTGGGCTCTTCAGTAATGCCGGGGGTAAAGTTATCACGTCCGGTGTTCTATCAAATTCCCCTACCCGTGCAAATTCCCCATACCCTGGTCATTTGCGTTGAGGGTAATCAGCTGGCCCCTGTGCTGCACATGCGTGGTAGCACTCCTGCTGGGGTAGGGTAATCTGATGGAGTCTCTTACGAGAGTACAGTAAGTACAGTAGTCTGGCTATAAATATACAAAATAAAGGCTATATTAGGTTGTTATTGCTCTATGCAAATAAAGCCTGCAATAAATCCAGTGCATGCCCTTTCTTCTTCCATACACCCCTGCCGGTTGTTAGAATGAAGCTCTGTTTTTTATGCCATACAAGTTTATGTGCATAGGAAGCTGAATATGTAGGAAGTTGGCATTTACTGACTAATGATGGACACTGACGCAGAAGTAGACTGTTGGGTAAGTAGAGTTTTATATATATGTTTGCATTATTTAATAAAGGTTTCTGGACCGAACAAGTGCATTTTAACTATTGTAAAATTCAGCTTTAAACAAATTGTAATGATTGTTGAAATGCAGAATGATTTTAATAATTAGTGTTTTATCTAGTATGTTTATTGCATGTTTTACTTCTTAAACCAAGTCTCTCTATCTCAGAATAATTCCTTAATTGAAATGTTTAGATATTTACATGCAGGGAGCCTCACGACTACCGAATGGCACGATCTTTGTGGTGGAACCAGTGTTCTTGGGTTGGTGTTAGTGTTTATAGCACATTTTGGAATTGTAAGCTGTTGTCCCAGTATTCTGTGAAATAGGTGCTTAGCAGAGAAAAATGTAATAATACATTATTTTTACTAACTTTAATGTGGACTGCAGACACCTCAAGTCCTCGGTGCAGGTAATAAGGTTTCTAAATCCATCAGTTGAAATCACAGATAAATACCGCACTCAATTGTGCCAGTTAAGTAAAAAAATATAAAAGACATTGCAAATTCTAATATTGAGATATATATATATATATATATATATATATATATATACATACAATATATCAATATTAGAATTTGCAATGTCTATTATATATATATATATATATATATATATATATATATATATATATAGACCAAAATAAAATAAGATCATTATATCAGACACAAAGCAGATACAATACAATGAATGCGTTCCGTGCCTGTCTTACAGACACTTTCTCAACATAAACATTATATCTGATAAAATAATTGTGACGGACCGCCTGGCACCTCGACTGGGTGTCTCCTAGTGCTCGCCAAGGGCTCCAAGCACTCCACCAGACACCATAAGCACTGTAGACCTCACAAACCGCCACAGCTTGGTTGGGGTTTTGCTGTCCTTCACCCACCCTGGACCTAAGACAAGGATCCAGTTTCCAGTGGGTGGACCTCTCCTCCAGAGAGGCTGTGTAGCTTTTAAAAGAGCTAGTTATTATAGCCAGTATAGTAATCTAAAGAGCAATCCCAGGAGCAGGGATTATTGCTGGTATAGCAGTTCCCTATAATAAGAGACAGGACTCTGTATTGGGGGTGAAGTAAAACTGGTTTAATGGTAGCCACACTGGCCTTTTATGCAAGTCCCCATGACACCCACATGGACCTTGTTGGGGACAGGTACACAAACTTACAAACCGATGATAATACATTGACAATGTAAGGCACTTCCACACATGGCATACAATCCCTCCCCTCTGCCTGGGAGATAATTGAGTCAGATACTGCATTAACCCAATTATCTCTAGGCAGAAATAAAACACATTTCTAAAAAGTTCCAAAAGTACCCCAAAACACATGATATCCCCACATGTTACATCCACTGATAGCCCTGATCTGGGTGACCAACATATCCAAAATTCACCCAGATCAGTTCAGGGATTCAAGAATTTTATGGAAGTCATTTATTTGACCGACCGCAGGCATGGTTCCATTTTCCAGAGACTGCTTGCGGTCGGCCTAGTTCGATAGTTTGAAAGCGAACAAACTACCGAACAGAGTCAATAGTCTAACCCTGGAGCTTGTTCCCTTCATCCAGACGAATGATCTCTCCTAACAGTGCCCTTCTAAGTTGAATAGAATCAAATGCAGGTGATGATGGAAGTCCAGCGGTGTTAGGGAGTTTCTGTATCCGAATTTAGTTAAATGAGATTCATGCCCAAACACCGCTGCCTGCGTTTATGCGAACAAGATGGTCTCTGGGTCATGCAGTTGTTCAGTAATTCGAAGTGGCTCTTCAAATTGCTTTGGTAATTCGAAGTGCTGCTTCACAAGTCCAAAGGGCACAAATACTGTTTTCAAATAGGGTTTAACATCGGGGCCATAGTCACAGGGTAAGAGGCTGGCAAGTATGCCCCTTCAATGATCTGTGACGAGGTCCAGGTAGTCACAATAATCTTATTTAATTTAGTTTATAGGTGATCCTTTTCCTTAACACCAGAGATTAACCTCTATCCCTACAGGTTACACCGACATTACCTTACACACTACATCATGAATTAATCCCTGTTTTAAACATTAATTTCCATACTACCTGACCACTTTTACTGCCTTGCTCCCTACACTATTTGAATGACCAGCTGTAGTGGTTATGGTGCCAGGATTACCTTGGCACACACTCAGGAGTAAGTGTTCAATTGGTTTGATAACTTCCCAGTGGATAGTCTACCGCTCATCCCCTGTTGTCAGAAGCTCCAGATTAGCTTTGCTGAGCTAAGAATGGTCTTGCTGGACTGCATAGGCTAAGAGCATTAGCTCGGTGCTTTCAGCCAATGAATGTGGCTCTGCATGGCCAAGTTTAGATCTGTTCTTGAAGCTCCTACAAGCATGGGTGGTGGCGGCTGGGAATGGGTACGTTGTCAAAGCATTTGACGACTTAATCTGGAAATGTACCAGGGCACTGCTGGCTTCATAATCACTCAAGCAGGCTGTTTTGGTTATAGTACTTGGAGTGTACATTTAGCACACTATCCACAAAATATCATGTAATATAAATACATTATCAGAGGAAAATGTGTATATGTGTATGTATAGAAATTCTTGTAACAGATAGTGCTTTTTGGACATTATGAAATACACTGTTGTTGTGTCCACTCCTCACAGGATTTACAGTTCATCCTGGAGACAGATGGATTCTTGAAACTGGAAGACAATATGAAATTACTATTGATGTATTTGACAAATTAAGTAACAAGGTCTATTTATCTGATGTGAGTTTCCTTACCTTTTAGTAGTGTTTTGTATTAGCATAATTCCATGGTATTTTTCAGTAACCTCTGTAATTTATTTTAGGTGTAGTGTAATATAACTACATTATTGCTACACAACCTACAGACTTATGCCTGGGTCCCAAACAGAACATTAACTATCTCCCAGGACTCTCAGCTACTAAGGCAAGCTACAGCCTTATGCAGAGCCCGGGTCCCAAACAGAACATTAACTAGCTTCCAGGACTCTCAGCTACAGCCTTATGCAGAGGTAGCTCTTTTGGATGGTTCCGACCACCCCAAGGAACTCCCTACATTTATTGATAGCACAAATTACCTGACTTTCCAAACACACTAATTATGTCTCTCAAACCCTCATAACCTGCTCAACTATCACACTCACTAGCTGCAACCCCGGAACCCTCTCATCTCTCATGTGACTTTAAGATCCCACCTCATCTAATTTTGCATAAATAAAACTCCTAATTTTCCTATATTATTTAAACTCCTTTTATTCTCCTTAGAGAATGCTCTCCTTTATATACTTTTCTTTCACTCTCACCTCTCTAATTAGCAAAATATGTTTATCCCTCTGCTCACTTGCCCCTCCTGACACGTTTTCATTGCTCCTACTTTACTTCACTTCCCTCTCTTTTCATCCCATGCACTCTACTTATACCTTTCCAGCCTATCTCCACCAACTCTTTCTAAAAACTCTAAATACACACCCTCTCACAAAACTTTTAAATCCTAACGTACTTGGAGTGTACATTTAGTACACTAACCACAAAATATCATGTAATATAAATAAATTATCAGAGGAAAATGTGTATATGTGTATGTATAGAAATTCTTGAACATGTAACAGATGGTGCTTTTTGGACATTATGAAATATACTGTTGTTGTGTCCACTCTTCACAGGATTTACCTTCTCTTACTCTCTATGCTTCTGCTCCTAGCAGCTGGTGAGGTCTCTCCAAATCCTAGTCCCACCTCTGCAAACCCACCATATGTTAACTCCAGGAATCACAATAATCTCGTACCCATCTCATGTCACTCTTCCTTTAAATCCTCCTTCCATAATGCCCTCTGGAATGCACACTCTGTTTGCAGTGTTACTAAATCCACTGCTGTGCACAACCTTTCCATCTCTCGTTCCCTAGACTTACTAGCCTTAACAGAAACCTGGCTCTCTCCTTCTGACACCACTACCCCTGCCTCTCTATCCTTTGGTGGTCTTCAATTTTCCCACAACCCAAGACACACTGAAAGCAAAGGTGGTGGTGTAAGGTTTCTACTCTCACCTCACTGCTCCTTCAAACCTCTACCAACCCCTCCTTCTCTCTCTCTCTCTTTCTCCTCATCTGAATTTCGTTCAATTCGCCTTTTCAAACCCATCACTGCTAACATTGCCATTATCTATCGTCCCCCTGGTTCCCCTCTCCTCTTACTTGACCATTTTGCTGCTTGGCTTCCCTACTTCCTCCCCTCTAATATTCCATCCCTAATTCTTGGGGACTTCAACATTCCCATTAACCTACCCTTGTCCTCACTAGCCTCAAAACTGTTTTCAATTACCTCCTCGCTTCAGCTATCACCTCCTCCCCATGTAGCTGGCAATACCCTTGATCCTGTTTTCTCTCATGAATGTACAATCTCTAATCTCTGCAACACTTCATTTAGTATCTCAGATCACCACCTCTTTGCTCTCAATAGCCCCCTACCCCATCATCCTCAACCCAACCCCCTTCAACTAAGAAGAAAGCTGCTGAAGGTCAATATAATTCAGATATCAGCCAATATTGATTCACAACTTCTATCCATCTCTACTTTCTCCTCTTCTTCACTGGCTATCTCCTCATATAACACTACCCTAACCTCTGCCCTGGATGCTGCAACCACACTTCAAACATGCACCTTGAGGAGAAAACACCCCCAACCGTGGCACACTAAATCAACCCGCTACCTGCAGAGATGCCCCCGTTCTGCTGAACGCTGCTGGAGGAAGTCATGCACCCAGTCTGACTTCCTCCACTATAAATGTTGCATTTATACAGCACAGCCCTTGCCTTAGCCAAACAGTCATACTTTTTTCTCCCTCATTAGCTCGTGCTCCCACAATCCCGGGCGTCTTTTTAATACCTTTAACTCCCTTATTTGCCCTGCTATGGCCACCCCCAAAATAACCTTACAGCCAATAGATTTGCATGCTACTTTACCGACAAGATTGAACAGCTAAAACCAGAAAAAAAATCTCACCACCTTTTCCCTCTCTTTCTCAACCACACCTAGGTCATGCCTTTTCTACCCTTCAGACTTTCTCCCAGGCTACTGAACAAGTGGTGGCTGCGCTTCTCCTTTCCGCTCGACCCACCACTAGCCTGCTTGATCCTGTCCCGTCTCACATTATCAGATCTCTCCCCTCTTGTCTTGTGCCTTCCTTAACACACATCTTCAACTGCTCTTTCTCTTCTGGTGTTGTCCCTGCTGCCCTTAAACATGCTACTGTAGTACCCATCTTAAAAAATACATATCTTTACCCGTCCTTCCCTTCTAACTATCGTCCCATACCCCTGCTCCCTTTTTCCTCAAAGCTTCTGGAAAACCAGTCTTACTTCCTCAATTCCAACTCTCTCCTTGACCCTCTTCAGTTTGGCTACTGCCCCCTCCACTCTACTGAGACTGCTCTTATTAAAGTCACTAACAAGCTTATTACAGTCAATCCAAAGTGCACTACTCTACAGGGAGTGCAGAATTATTAGGCAAATTAGTATTTTGACCACATCATCCTCTTTATGCATGTTGTCTTACTCCAAGCTGTATAGGCTCGAAAGCCTACTACCAATTAAGCATATTAGGTGATGTGCATCTCTGTAATGAGAAGGGGTGTGGTCTAATGACATCAACACCCTATATCAGGTGTGCATAATTATTAGGCAACTTCCTTTCCTTTGGCAAAATGGGTCAAAAGAAGGACTTGACAGGCTCAGAAAAGTCAAAAATAGTGAGATATCTTGCAGAGGGATGCAGCACTCTTAAAATTGCAAAGCTTCTGAAGCGTGATCATCGAACAATCAAGCGTTTCATTCAAAATAGTCAACAGGGTCGCAAGAAGCGTGTGGAAAAACCAAGGCGCAAAATAACTGCCCATGAACTGAGAAAAGTCAAGCGTGCAGCTGCCACGATGCCACTTGCCACCAGTTTGGCCATATTTCAGAGCTGCAACATCACTGGAGTGCCCAAAAGCACAAGGTGTGCAATACTCAGAGACATGGCCAAGGTAAGAAAGGCTGAAAGACGACCACCACTGAACAAGACACACAAGCTGAAACGTCAAGACTGGGCCAAGAAATATCTCAAGACTGATTTTTCTAAGGTTTTATGGACTGATGAAATGAGAGTGAGTCTTGATGGGCCAGATGGATGGGCCCGTGGCTGGATTGGTAAAGGGCAGAGAGCTCCAGTCCGACTCAGACGCCAGCAAGGTGGAGGTGGAGTACTGGTTTGGGCTGGTATCATCAAAGATGAGCTTGTGGGGCCTTTTCGGGTTGAGGATGGAGTCAAGCTCAACTCCCAGTCCTACTGCCAGTTCCTGGAAGACACCTTCTTCAAGCAGTGGTACAGGAAGAAGTCTGCATCCTTCAAGAAAAACATGATTTTCATGCAGGACAATGCTCCATCACACGCGTCCAAGTACTCCACAGCGTGGCTGGCAAGAAAGGGTATAAAAGAAGAAAATCTAATGACATGGCCTCCTTGTTCACCTGATCTGAACCCCATTGAGAACCTGTGGTCCATCATCAAATGTGAGATTTACAAGGAGGGAAAACAGTACACCTCTCTGAACAGTGTCTGGGAGGCTGTGGTTGCTGCTGCACGCAATGTTGATGGTGAACAGATCAAAACACTGACAGAATCCATGGATGGCAGGCTTTTGAGTGTCCTTGCAAAGAAAGGTGGCTATATTGGTCACTGATTTGTTTTTGTTTTGTTTTTGAATGTCAGAAATGTATATTTGTGAATGTTGAGATGTTATATTGGTTTCACTGGTAATAATAAATAATTGAAATGGGTATATATTTGTTTTTTGTTAAGTTGCCTAATAATTATGCACAGTAATAGTCACCTGCACACACAGATATCCCCCTAACATAGCTATAACTAAAAACAAACTAAAAACTACTTCCAAAAATATTCAGCTTTGATATTAATGAGTTTTTTGGGTTCATTGAGAACATGGTTGTTGTTCAATAATAAAATTAATCCTCAAAAATACAACTTGCCTAATAATTCTGCACTCCCTGTATACTAATTCTTCTTGACCTCTCTGCTGCCTTTGACACTGTTGACCATGTTCTCCTTCTCCAAACTCTTCAATTACTCGGTCTACTTTTCTAATGATACCTCCTTCATCTGTCTCTATTGGAGTTCCCCAAAAATTGGTTCACCTTCTATTTCTCTTTATACTGCCTCTCTTGGCAAACTTATTACCTCATTTGGATTCCAATACCACCTGTACGCTGATGACACTCAGATATACCTCTCTTCCCTGGACCTCTCCCCTGCCATCCTGCAACGTGTTACTGCTTGCCTTTCTTCCATCTCTGAATGGATGTCCTCCCGCTTTTGAAACTCAGTCTCTCTAAAACTGAACTCCTTGTCTTTCCTCCTCCTAATACTGATCCCCCTCTTTTGCTCTCCCTTCAAGTGAGTGGTACCAACATCAGTCCATCTTTGCAAGCATGCTGTCTTGTCATTATACTTGATTCTGGCGTCAAATTTGAGCCTCACATCCAGTCTGTTACCAAATCCTGTAGATTCCACCTTAAAAACATAGCCCACATCTGCCCCTTTCTTACACAAGATGCTACTAAGGAGCTTGTCCATGCTTTAGTAATCTCTTGCATGGATTATTGCAACTCTCTCCTAGTAGGTCTTCCCACAAGTCATATTTCCCCACTACAGTCTGTAATGAATGCTGCAGCTAGACTGATTTTCCTCTCCTGTCGCTTCTCTCACACCTCTCCCCTCTGTCAGTCCTTACATTGGCTTAGTGTATCCTATAGGAGTCAATTCAAGGTACTAATCCACACCCATAAAGCACAGACCACTTTCTTCACTGATCCGCAGGTATGCCCCTTCTCGGTCTCTCCGCTCTGCCCATAACCTTCTCCTGTCTGCTGCTCGCACCCTTACAGCCAGCTCACGCTTGCAGGACTTCTCGCGGGTGGTTCCTTTCCTTTGAAATAGCCTGTGTATGACCATCAAGCTCTCCCTAGTTTTCAATCATTTAAAAAGTGTCTCAAAACCCATGTCTTTAGGAAAGCTTATGGCCTCCCAGAGTAACCTCTACCTCA